ACACGGGGACTCACAAAAATGTCTTGGGTTAGCCTAAGCAGTTTGCCTAAATGGCTGTTGGAAAAGCAGTACATCTTTCCAAGCAGCTTGGACTTTCTCTCAGCAGCAGCCACAGCAGAAGTGACTGGAATAGAAGTTCACACTAGCTCTGGGAAACTTTGCTTTCCCCAGGTGACAGAGCAGATGCAAGAAATGAGATCTGCATCAGTTAATTGCAGTTCACTTCAGCCCAGAGTTCTCGTACAAACTGTATATCTGATAAAGGTCTTGCATCGAGAGTTTGGATTATGGAAGCAGTGTTCTATGAGTAAAGTACATCCTGGTGCTTTGACATGTAGGTAAAAAATTGTGAAATCAAAGGAAGTATCTGGCATATCTTTCTGAAATTACCTTTTGGCTGTCAGTAATTACAACAGACTTTCGAGAAGGGTTTTCTAGCAGACATTCCAAATTAACACACTGAATTGTCAAAGAGCTATGTCTTAGGTAATTAGTGTTAGTTTATGTAAAAAGATCCAGATATTCTGTACACATTAGTTACAGGAACAATAAGTTAGCAATTAAGAGGAAGAAGATACATTGTATTAAGTTAAGCCTCTTCTTTTATAAAGGGCTACTGGCATGTTTCAAGCAGAAACAAGCCTGTAATCTGGAAATATTTTAAAGATATGTCATATTTGTAATGTGGTTTAATTGAAATCATATTTGACATACCACAAAGCATGGAAGAGATACTACAATAAACTTTTTAAGATTTATTTTATTATGTTATTTGTATGTATGTAGTTTTACATGGATATGTTCACAAGAGTACAGATGCCAACAGAGTCCAGAGGCATCAGATTCCCTGGAGTTGGCATTACAAGCAGTTCTGAGCAGCCCAGTGTAGGTGTTGGTGACTGAATTTAGGTTGTCTGCAAGAACAGTGTACATTCTCTCCACAGAGACATCTCTCCAGCCCCTATAATAAAGTCAAGTTGCATATAGATAATAATATTAACTAGGATTCTATGTAGTTGGGTCTTATGTGGGTCTTATTTGGATGGTTTTCAATATACAACTTCACAATCATGGTATTTATTAAATGATCATTTATTCATCTAGATCATTTAAAAAATAGAATCTAACAATATGTTTGTGCTCTGAAAATACTGAGCAGTTTATAGTGATTCTGAAGGACTATAGTTGTTTTGGAAACCACATCATCATTCTGAGGATAAGCACAGGTCACTAGGATCAGAAGGAGGTTATACTCCCTTTGAGTGTGGTAAGCAGGAGATATTAACTCAATTTTTAAAAAGACTTAGGCTTAGATTTCAGTTCTATTGAAAAGCGATTTAAAATCTCATTTCACTTTCTGGAATGACGGGAGGAAAGCTGTGTATATTTATGTGCATGCAAATATTTACATATGATCATGAGGCATAGGGAAGAAGTAAAGTAGCAATTTGTGCCTTGATCTGTTTTCAATCAAACTCAGAAGGGAGTGTTAGCAGACATCAGGTAAAAAACAGTCTCCTCCGTGTCAAACACTTCAGGTTAGATTTGCCAGTAGAATTTGCAGTTAATGAAAGTTATATGTAATGGAGGTTCCGTGGGCTTGAGTTTTAAAGTCTGGTTGACTTGCTCACTCAGGATTTCGGGTTTAATCAATATCCTTGTCTTGTACATGTGAAATTCAAGAGATTTCATTTAGTGAGCACAGACCCTGAAGCTGTGCATTATTTCATTGAATTTGCCTTTGTCTTTCTAAAGAGGGTTCTACAGAATACTTCCCTTAAAGAATTTCTAATGAAATTAGACCAGAATAAAAAGGATCTGTAATAATTCTTGCAGCATTGCTCTGTGTGGACTTGTTCTTCATGAGTAGACCACAGATGCTGTCTGGGCATTGAAAAAAGTTCTATCATTGTCGGAGCTTGGATTTTCCCATTGCTTCTGATTTAGCTAATAGCTCGGGCTTATGCGTTGTATGTGTGTTCTTAATGCATAGACCTCAGAGTGCTTCAAATGTCTTAATTTTCCTAATAAAATAACAGTGTTCTCTGAGCAATTGTCCTAATCTGCTGTCTGCAAAACCAGTTCTCGTGCTCTCTTAGGGGGTAATTTGTCCTGTGGATTTTCTGAGTCATGTGGAAAAGATTTTTCTACAAATATTGAGGACATTAAAAGTCCTAGAATTTGTCGTGGGCCAGGAGAAGTGATCAAAAAGAGCATAGGCTGGGGTTTACTGATTGAGGAAGGGAGACAAACCAGTTTCCAGGTCCTGGAGCCTGGGATGAACTTCAACTTCCTTCCTAGTCTGCTGGAATCTTATAGACACCACTCATATGAATGGTTTTCAATATACAACACAATCACAGAAAGTATTTATTAAATGATCACTTATTCATCTAGATTAAAAAAAATAGAATATACCAATATGTTTGGGCTCCGAAAGTACTGAGCAGTTTATAGTGATTCTGAAGGACTGTAGTTGTTTTAGAAACCACATCATCATTCTGAGGATAAGCATGGGTCATTAGGATAAGAAGGAGGTTATGAAGGAATCAAAAGGAGAGGAAACCAGTGCCATCCACACATAATGGAATGCCAAAGGGAAGGCAAGAGAATAGAATTCAGCGTGGGGAGTTCAAAGCCACTGATGCAAACCTGAGTCACAGGTGGTCCCTCTGGCTCGCTTTTGTGAAAGAATCAATGGTACTTCAGAATTCTGAGCAAACTTCCAGCGCTTCATGTTCGAAGGATGCCATTGCTCACTACCTAAAGTACTTTTTCACCTCTCAGGAAAAGTTGCTTCTTCCTCTGCTGGGTTTAGAAAGAACTGTCCACATGTTTCTTGACTCTGGGAGGCTTTTACTAAAAACTGTTATTTATGAAAAGGAAGATTTTAGTTTGCAGTCTATTGGTCACTTGACAAGCAAGCATACTATTGTGTTCAAAACTTCATGTCTTTACAAGTCATGTAAGATTCAGAAGCTTCAAAACATCTTCCAAGATCCCAGGTGCTTGCTGGCCAGTCTGTCTAGCCAATCAACGAGCTCCAACTTCAGTGGGAACTATCTCAAAATAAAAGGTGGAGGAAGTCACCAGATGTCAACCTACATCCACATGTACAACTGCACACACACAGGTACACGTGCACACATGCACACACAGGCACCACACATATACACACTAAAATACATTTGTTTCATAAAATCATGTTTGGTATTTATTAAACATTTGACATTCCCATCTCATGTGCACATTTCACATTTCTGACTTTAATGAGTAAACAAACTTACTGATAATGTAGTTTCTGAATTTTACAGCTATTCAAATTAGATAGATGATAGATAAGATAGATGATAGGTAGATGATAGATAGATGATAGATAGATGGTTGATAGAATAGGTAGATAGGTAGATAGATAGATAGATAGATAGATAGATAGATAGATAGATAGATGTGTGTGTAGGTGTGTTATTTTTCAATGATCTCAGATTGGCATAAAATGGAGCTAATTAAATTTTCTTTCCAGGAATCAGCCAGCCAGACCACTGCCCCAGGCACAGAACCTCAGCTCCATCCTCCTTTTCACTCATTTATTCTGTATGTGAAATGAATCTCCTCCAACACGAAGGTAGAGCACTAGGTCAGGCAGCTGCTGATGGCTTTTAGTAACTGTGCAGAGTCAGTGTTTGAGCCTCAGCCCTGACAGTTCCTATCACAGATGGGTGACAGTGGAGGCACGTCTTCCCACTCGAGTTGGCTGTGGATGACAATCTGCCAAACTGAAATAATTGAAAAGGCATCAGGTCTGTAAAAATGAATTGACTTGGCTTAGCGCTAAAGTATTTTGAAAAATTCTGGAGAAGCCACTCCATTTCTCCCTGAGATTGTTTATATGAACAACGAAGAGAATGCAGTAAACAGGATCATCTGAAAACAGTTCATTTTTAGTAATTTCAAGAGTATATCTGTGTCATTAATCAATTTACCAGGCTCTGTCGGTAACAAAGGAAGTAATAGCAACAAAGACTGCAGGCACTCTACTGGTTTCCTCCTATGTCTTACTCTACCTCTAATATTTTTTTCTGATTTAATTAATTTAATCAAATTACTAAATCATTTTCCCAGGTTATCAAAAGGGGACCTGGAATTTAAACTCATTTGTCTTTGACTTTGAACCCTCTCTCCATCGTATATTCACAGACTCCATATTAGAATAAAGATTTCAGTGCTAGAAAAGAGACCTGTTGAAGTGGTTTTCTGTTTTGTTGCTGTTGTGGTGATTGTTATTGTTTTGGGGGGTTGAGACAGGGTCTTCTTGTAGCACCCGCTGGCCTGGAACTCTGTATGAATCAGGCTGGCCTCAATCTCACAGAGACCCACCTCCCTCTGCCTCCCAAGAACTAGGTTGAAAGGCATGCACCACCAAGTCAGGCAAGTGTAATTACTTAAGAAATATTCAAGAAAAAGGGCTGATATCTCAACCTCTTCTCTCTCTCTCTCTCTCTCTCTCTCTCTCTCTCTCTCTCTCTCTCTCTCTCATCTTAAACCATTCTTCCTAAGGAGGAAAAGTTTTCTCTTCCATTCTTATATAGCGGTTTATATAGTTTATATATAACATCGATTCAATGCAGACAGTCCTATCTAACAGAAACTATTCAGTATTAGTCTTTGGAAATAGGGAAAAAACATTACAAAGAAGCCAGTGACCCTATACTATATTATATTGATTTGCATACTGAAGTATTTATGTGCTTTCACTCTAAACAAAGAGAAAGAAATGAATCCTTCCAGGATACCACATTAAAAATGAAACATTGATGTATTTATTAGTAGGTAAATTTTAAAAAATAACAGGTAGAATGATTTAGATAATTATCTGAAGTTAAATTAAAAAATTAGCTCATCCGTATCTAGGGTAAAAGCAAATTATCATTTTTAGTTTCTGTATCTTCAAGATTACATTCCTGATTGCATATTTGAACTTTCTTCTTTCTTTCCCATAGTTGGACAGTGTCACCTCCCTCATCCAAGCGGCCAAAAATTTAATGAATGCTGTAGTGCAAACAGTGAAAATGTCCTACATTGCTTCCACCAAGATCATCCGAATTCAGAATCCTACAGGACCCCGGCACCCAGTAGTCATGTGGAGAATGAAGGCCCCAGCCAAAAAGCCCTTGATTAAAAGAGAGAAACCCGGAGAAACATGTGCAGCTGTCAGACGAGGCTCAGCAAAGAAGAAGATACACCCGGTGCAAGTCATGAGCGAATTTAGAGGAAGACAAGTTTACTGAGCCCCGAGCCTACGTTTGTGCCAATGTTCCAAACTCCTGGCTAACCACCCTGCTTTGTTTCACAGTTGATTAGCTCTGTACTTTCACCAACTTTCAGAGTTTAACTCACAAATAACATGGAACACTGGGATTAAGCCAATGTGAACAACATGTATTTGGGATTATGTCATTGTCACCTGTGTGGAGGCAGCACTGAATAGCTCATGGGCAGGTAGTACTGAGGGACTAAACTCTCAGGTGTTATTCAACCTGACCCATCACAGGGACTACCCTACATTCTTTGCAAAATGAACCCGAGACATGAAGTGAGAGCTATTTACCTGGAATAGTCTGAATGTGCTCACTCTTTTCTTTGTGGGTAAAGACACTCCCAAGAGCTTTTCACTTGCATTTCATTGGAAACAAAAGTTTATCAGGTTTTTTCCCAGATAGTCTGTAATTTCTTTAACTGACCTAACCTGATACCTAACCTGCCAGAAATGTGCAATTCTTGACATAAGAGTTTTCAATCCCTCAGTATCTCTACCCACTATTAATTGTTTAGTCTACTCTAATCAAATGAGAGTGAGTGATAAAGTTACTTAAGTAGAGTTTAAAAGTCGGACTTGTTACTAACAAAATGCTTTCTTGATACCATAAGGCTGCAGTGACTTTGGATGTAAGGTAGATACTGTTTGGGTCCATTGTGTTTGGAATGTCTGCACTCTGGAGTGCTGGGTTTATCACAGTACATACAAGAGTTATCATCTGCTGGAGAAATTGTTCTTGTTGGTCGATCTGTTTATTTTACTTGGATTGAAACTAAGGCCTTGTACATGCTAGGCAAGTGACCTACGATTGAGCTAAATCCCTAGCCTTCCTGTTAGAGAAATGACGCATTGAGTTGTCTCAAAGTAAGTCTATGATGATGGAGGTGAAAGGAAATATATCTGCATGTCTTTCAAGATCTCTTTATATCTGTTTTGTAATTGTAATTAGAAGGTAAGGCCATTGAAAAGTCCTTTGTCACGGAGTGAAGTATACCACCAAACTGTGAAGGAAGCTAATGTGGGTGAGGCAGGAGTGATTTTAATAACTATCCCTTAAATAAGCCACGGGAGTCATTTTACATGACCAACAGCTGTTCATCCACACTTGAGTGTTTCTCTCTCTCTCTCTCTCTCTCTCTCTCTCTCTCTCTCTCTCGCTCATGCTCTCTCTCACACTACCTTTGTGTAAGTGGTCTTGGAGGAGTTAAGTTTCAGTTTCACTTTGTCACACCCAGGATTGGTTGACATTAATTCCCTCTTAAATTGGATCAGAATACTGTTTCTTATAGTACAATGATGTTCGTGAAGAGTTGTTTTAACACTTTTCTATTAGTAGAATAAGATTTCTCCGTGTAACAGCAGTTAATGTCAGGAAGACCATTTACACATGAAGCAGAAGAAGTATGCAGGTTGAAAGTGTGGCGTGTTGACTATCTTGAACATACAGGTGAAAACAGGATCTAGCAGGTCACTTTAACCATGAGGGAAATAATAATTCTCTTTTAATTCAATGAATTATTTCATTCTTCCAAAGCGCTGTGCTGCCTGGCTTTTGCGTAAAACCTCCTAGGAACTGAAGGAAATTCACTCATTTCTCCTCTCTGTCTTACCCTAGGGACTTGCCCACAACAATTATCCTGGGCAAAGTGTACACATATGAAGAGATGCAGTGAAGGGAACTTGGCCTTCATATGATGCTGTCTTTCGGAGGCATCTCAGCATCTGAGGCACATAGGGGGCAGCTGCTGTTGGAACTCTCCCAGGATATTCCATTCTCCATGTGGAGCAATTCTAGCATAGCCCTCTCCCAGATTGATAATTTGTTGAAAAATGATTTTTCTTTAAAATATCCAACACTGCCCCATCTGTATATCCTAGTTCCTACAAGCAAGAACACAAGAATCCTGAGTCTTATTTGAAAAATCCGCTGTGTATTTGGCATTATATTATCCTTCCACATATTGGAATTCATCATGCAGTGTTGGAAGACAAAAGAACAGAAACAAAATTAAATGATGCTACTACCAAACACCCTTGATTCTTTATCCTTTAAAAAAGAAATTTTTTACCCAAAATAATATGCAACCAAGGCATTTTCTTTACCGTAGGTAGATTGGTAGCTAAATTCAAAGCAAACAACTATAATTAAAACAAGCTTTGACTTGGCAAATATCCCGGAAATAAATTTTCTGTAGCAATCAAAGGTGTAATAAAAGCAAGACACATAAAGCTGACAGGGACATCTGTCCATCTCAGGAAATTCTTACTGTACGCAGCGGTCTGAAATTTAATTGGACTCAAACAATGAACAATACAATGTGACTGTAGAAAGGGAAATTAGAAGTAAAAATACTGACAATTATTATGTCTTATCAATAAGCATAATTCTATGGACATACTCATAGCTAGGCTTTTCTTCTGCATGGAAGAAGAAATTTCTTAACAGGAGTGATAATTTGGTGGCCCAGGATGCCATCATAGGGATTGGTGACCCCTCAGATGATACATTGTTCAGTTCTGCGAATGAGACCTTGCCTGAGATTTATTATGTTCATTTATAGAAAATATCACTTGAGAGAAGTTTTATACAACCTGCAAGGATACAGCCATCCCCACTTAACCACTTGCATCACCACCAAATGTTACAGTAGATTCAGAATGACAAAGAAAATACCCATTCCATCATAATTAATGTAACATTCTTTCTATCTTCCTGGAAAACCCAGAAATTTTTCATCAAACATGAAATGTAATAAATATACATCTATTTTATTTATTAAACAAAAACTAGTAGATTAAAATGCTTCTTTGTAAAGAAGCTTCTGAATAGTTTTTGACTGAGCTAAGAAAAAAGAGGAAAACATGCAGTTTCAAAGTTCACTTATGAATCATTCTTTTGTGCTTGTCAAGATTTGAGTGTAGCCTATGAATGCATTAGAAATTTCATTGTGGTCTTCATACTTGTGTGTACCACCTGCCCTCTGAAAATGTCTTAACACCAGCGTAGCCTGTGTGTACCCAGTGATCTCCTCCTTGCACAGGACTAAGGACCCAAAGCCACCCAGAAGGACCTCTTCTTGTAACCCAACATTACTGATTAGATTGAAGGGTCAGTTTTCAAATCTTCCAATAGTGGGAAAGCTAACCTTGTGAGTGTGGAATTAAATTCCCACTTTGAGCCTTCCTATCGCCTACAAGTAATGCTCCCCAGATTCCACAGTGCATCGTGGAAAAGACCGAGCAAGGACAATGGGAAAGATGTTAAGGGTTTCTTAAGCCCTTACATTAGGGACAGAGAAGATGGCTCAGTTGGTAAAGTGCTTATCATGACAGCATGGGAATCTGAGTTCCGATCCTCAGCACTCACATAGAAGGTCTGGAGTAATGGAGTGCCTCTGTGAGCCCAGTCCTGGGGACCCAGAGAGGAGGATCCCTGGAGCTCTCTGGACAGCTCATGTAGACAAATCAGGGAGTCCTAGGTTCAGTGAGAGACCCTGTCTCAAAAAATAAGGGGTAAATGACTGAGGAGAACATTCAGTGTCAAACTCTGGCTTTAACATATTTGCACACATATAACATGCACAGGCTACCACATGAACACAGGCATGCACATAACACATGCACATCTCACTCTCCGGGTGATACTCTTATCTCATTCGACTCCATGCTCAAAACCTTTCAGCCCCTGGAGTCTTCTGCTTGTCTGATATGGTCAAGCTGCCCCATCCCAGCCAGCTGCCCAGCAATGCCCTCTGATATAATTCTATGCTCCAAAACCTCTCACCTACCTCCAGTCTTTTCACACATCTACCGTGCTTGTAAATCAACCAGGGTTCTTGGGGCTTCAGTTTAATGGTAGAGTTCAACTTCCAGAAGAGTTTCTTCAGACTTCCTGCTCCTTTCCTCTTTTGTGTCACATTTTGATAAGGATTACAGTTCCCATGAATACAGATTTCTTTCTTTACTGTGGCAAAGTGGTAGGTGATCTGTGACTCTTCCTGGTGAAATGACCCATCCTGTCTCTGTTGGTAATACATTATTACCTAGGTGAACAACATAGGCACCTGTATATCAGTCTGAATGAAAGCCCCATAGTGTTTTATATGTGTGAGAGAGTGTGTGTGTGTGTCTGTCTTTTTAGTTAAGACAGCCTACCTAATGTATAGCTAGGGATCAAATAGCCATTTTTGTATTTTTGTAAACTCAGAAGTAACTGTTCCTTGACAAGAATGTCTGGGGACATCCAGTTTAAAAGAATGTGACTGCATATTATTTCAACATGATTTTTGAAGTAAATGTCTACAACCTCAGATTTTTTTCAACTATATATATCACACTAAGAGACAACATTTATTCAGAAGAAAAGATCATTTTTATGGCTCTTTCCACACCATTATGCAATATTTAGGATGAGGATTTTGCATATTACCACCAAGTAAACAACAATAAAATGCAGAGTGGCAAATGTATCTATATACAGAGTGACTTGAGGTTTCATTTTTAGCCATTGAGTCAAATTAGGAAAGTGAACAGGGATGCTAATTAAAGGAGGTGTGTATAGCTGAATTTATCTTAACCTAAGTTGTTGATATTACCCTAGATATTAACAAGAGAAAAAAATAGAATTAAAGGTTTAAATTAGTTTCATTCCCACTTAACCAATTCACATAAATAAGACACTTTAAACGAATATTTAGAATAGTTTAAAACATGAATCATTTTATAAGAGAATAGTTTCCCCCAAGAGAACACCAAGAAACCATCCAAATGAAGAGGATACTGATGGAGAGCGCTGTCTTCAAGTGGTACCCAGCAGGTCAGACTCTCATATTCAGGCAGTAGATGATCTGTGGGGTTCACCCCTTCTCCTGTCCCTAGATGACTGATTAGTGAACACTGCACAGTTCGCCACTGGGAACTGTCTCCATTGGGAACAAAACCTCTAGATTTACTTTCAACAAGAACTCAGCAAGTAGGTGAGAGAGAATAGAAATAAAGAAATTTTGATGAGTGTGTCAAAGGGAGAGGAGTGACCATGAAGGTTATTCACAGAAGTAGATAATTTTCATGGACCGGGTAAGGGGGTAGTGTGGGGATCTCTGAAGATTAAGTGGACTCATACTGAGGGAGATTTGGAAGTTGTAAGGATAGGATTGTGTATGTGTCTTGTTGTTTTGATAGTTTGGTAAAGTCATGTTGGAGGCCCATTTACAATCTGTATAATTTTTGATGGTGATTAATACTCATTCATTCCCCAGGTGATGTATGAAATTAATCCCATTTTAAAACCCATCAGCATAATCACACACTCATCTATTTAAGTACTATTTTTCAAGCAGCTAGGACCCTCCGATCCCTGTTCTAGGTTCTGAGATTTCAACCCCCAACCAAACAGTGACCTCTGCCCTCATGTGCCAGTATGTGTTGCATGACAGCATCCAGCTTATTTCACACTCTCCATTGTCTTAGAGGAGGTACATTAACTGCAGGAAAGAAACAGATCTATACACAGGAAAAGAATTTTTCTGAATATCACTAATTGTTTTTTATTATTACATTTCAGGTTCTGAACTTTTATTTACAATACCAAACCACATTCTGGGAAAATAAACCTTGTTTTTTTTTTTTTTTTTTCAGTTGATAATGAGATACATATCTCATATTGTGGCTGGTTTCCTGTGTAAGAGAAAAACAGAAAAAAAGGAAAAGCTTCACAATTAACACAGCCTACACCATACAAGGAAATAAGAGTCATATAAATATTAGGCTGTGTAGTGCTACCTCTAGTAATTGAGCACAGAATATTATGGGGGTAGAAACCACTTATTTTGTTGCAGGGTGTCCATGCTTTTATTATTGCAGAGAAAGTTTCCATGGAAACAACTGTGTCCCATCACCATTAGTCAATGAAAACCAGTTTAGAGCATCATTCCTTTAATCATTTGTTGCCAGTATGTGAATCTTATCCTATTGTTTCCAAGACACATATAGTCAACTATAATTCAGTTAAGATAATGTTTCCCTGCATTTCACACCTACCCAAAGATAGCAAGTATATTTCCTTCTTTATGGGCATCATACATCTGCATTCTGTGTGTCTGGTTATAGGAAAGCTGAGTCCTTCGTCTTCCCATGGTACTTCCTAGAATCAGCTGAAAGACTCTTCTCTCACACGTTTCAGGACAAGTTTACACATCCTGAGGCATGGAGAGTTAAGTGGACTTGTGATTCTTCTCATCGTAAAGCCACAACTGTTTCCTCAAACTAGGAATATGTCCACTTGATGTCTTCAGTTTTCTTTCTCTGGTTGTCAAGATGATCCCTGTATACAAAACAAAAGCACAAATCCCACAAGAAAAGAGAAATGTCCTTTAAAGAATCACACTTTGTAAAACTAGGTCTAATTATCTCATCAGTGTAGGAACAAGCACACACCACTTAATATTAGCAGTGCTCAACACGTTTTCATTTCAAATGAGATATTTTCTGGTTCTAACATTTCTTTCCTTGACATTTTTCAGAGGTTTGCTTATGATTAGTTCTGAGTATTTGTTTTTAAAGGGCTGTGGCATCTCCTTAAAGACTTTAAAGTACCATTTCAATAGTTATATCAGTAGTTCAAATGCCTGTGAAAAGTTTTTTTCTGTTGGGACAGCCACGGACTTGGCAGCCTCAGGCCAAACTTTGGTGTCTGACATCAGATTCTCATCTTTATAATTTGATCTGAACTTCTCTGTAATAGTCACAGAGACCAGTTCAAACGGGTGGGTTTCCTTGACCTTGGACTCTAACATCAGACTTGGATTGGAATGTTTACTTATAAAGCAAAGGAGTGCATCTAAATTGTCCCCATTCTCTTACATAAACAGAAATTTTACCCTGTCCAAGGGCCTTAAATATAAAATTAATTTGAAAATGTGTTGTGTAGAAATTATTCCGTTGCTTGTCAAAATATCTTTCATGAGAACTCACCGCTCTTACATTTTGGCAAACAATGTGTCCATAGGAGTCTGAGTAGCAGGATTTCAGCAACTGTCTTGCAGGGGTAAGATGTGCTGTTGGCTATTTTTTAAACTTTGTCTCATGTAGTACAGTCCTTCCAAAGAAAATCTTCTAAATGTCAGCATTATCCTACCTCCTCCATATCTGTGACTAACAAGCCCAGAAAACAGAAATAGACAGATGCTTTGACAAATTTAGTACCTAATAGTTGAGGATTAAAAATTTTCTTGGGAAAATTAAGTGATTAAATAAGAATTAGAATTTCTGATGAAAAATTTTCAGATGTCCCTGCTTCCCATTTGAATTGTGATTCTATTTTCTTGTTACTTTACTCCCCAAAGTCACTTACTTTTTACACTTTTACAAGCAATGATTTTGTAGCTTAAACTTAGTGACATCTCTGCAGGAAATACATACCTCATAATTTAGGATAAAGGGAACCTTAATCTATGAGAGCGGGAATGAAATAAATTTGATCAAGAATAATCATGTTGATTACAGTAATATCTCGAGAACCCAAGTTTACAGCCATTCGAGGTATTTTAGCGCATCTTGCTTCTGTGTCTCCCCCCTCCTGTACTGAACAGGGACTGGCTGGTGAACCTCCCATTACAGCTATGGGCCATTCA